GCGCGCCCGCCGGCGCCGCCACCAACAGCAGCTTCTACCGGTGAGCGGAGACTCCATGTGTGGCCCTGGGGCACCCTGCAGCACGGTCATGGTGCTCACATTACGGTGACCAAGGAAGGAGCGGGTGGCAGGGGCACAGTAGGCCCTTGCTTTGGTTGCTCCCACTCACGTGTCTCACCATGCCCAGCTCAGGCACCGGTGGCTGCGACGCCCCATCCAGCACCAAGGGAGGATGGGCATGTGCCATGGGGTGGATGGGGGTTGCCCAGGCTCACGGTCCTCCTGTCATCCCCCCAGGCACCTCCTCAACGTGACGTGGGAGCACAGGGACTTCTCCTTCAACGAGGGCGGCTACCTGGTGCGGCCCACCATGGTGGTGATCTCGCTCAACCAGCACCGGCTCTGGGAGATGGTAGGGACCGTGTGGAGGCCGTGGGCTGAGCAGGACCGCGCGGGCTGGGCCCCGGCGCCCGCAGCGGCTCCGCGCAGCCCCGCCGGGCACCAAAGCTCTGCAAGGCTTGGGGGTTTCCTTCTCCTCCTCAACTGGGTGGCTGCAAAGTTGCAAAAGATTTCAAAGCCCTAATGCCCACCTTCAGGGAACAGCAGGTGTTTAGGCCTGCTGCAAGCCACGTGGAGCTTTTAGAAGCATTCCAGTTGATCCTTGGAGCTCATATTGAAGTGCTCAAGACCTCCCGGGTGCCACACGGGACATGACGAGGCTCCTGCACTCTCTACAGGTGGGCAAGTGGGAGAAGGGCATCATCCACATGAAGTACCCGGTGTGGCCCCGCTACGGCTCCTTCCTGCAGCCCGTGGCTGAAAAACGGGACGGCCACGCTGGAGGAGAGGCCCTTCGTCATCGTGGAGAACACCGACCCCAGCACGGGCGTCTGTGTGCGCAACACGGTGCCCTGCCGCAAGCAGACCAACTCCTCGCAGAGGTGTGCGGGACCGGGGGACACGGGGACAGCCCATTCCTTCCCCTTCGTATATGGGTTAAACCCCAGACGTGGCTCAGTGTGTCCTGCAGCCCCTGGAGTGCTCAGGACCCCTCCAGGAGGGCCTGGGGGTGCCCTGACCTGCTTTTACGTGTCTCAGTTTCAGCGGCGACGGCTCCGTGGACCCCTACACCAAGCTGTGCTGCAAGGGCTTCTGCATCGACATCCTGAAGAAGCTGGCCAAGGCGGTCAAGTTCTCCTACGACCTCTACCTGGTGACCAATGGCAAACACGGCAAGATCGTCCGCGGGGTCTGGAACGGGATGATTGGTGAGGTAGGGGTGGGCAGGGCTCGACCCCCAAACTCATCCCCCCTTCCTTCCCCGAGGCAATCCAGGGCGTCGTTCCCCAGCCTTGCTGGGGCAGGTCCAGCGCTGGGGTGTTTCTATTGAAACGCGCCTGAGGTTCTGCCCTGGGGCTCGTGTTGGGTTCTGGCTGGCCGTCCTCATCCCGCGGTGCCAAGCCGCCCGCACTGAGGGTGCCCTGTCCCTTTCCAGGTGTACTACAAGCGAGCGGACATGGCCATCGGCTCGCTCACCATCAACGAGGAGCGCTCCGAGATCGTGGACTTCTCCGTGCCCTTTGTGGAGACGGGCATCAGCGTCATGGTGGCCAGGAGCAACGGCACCGTCTCCCCCTCCGCCTTCCTCGGTGAGCAGCATGGGACGGGCAGGAGAGCCCATCCCGGGGCTGGGGAGGCAAGGAGAGTGGCCAGGGTTGGCCTAAGACTTGAATGAAACGTTCGGTGATTTCCTGGGGCTCTCCAGTGAGAGCAAACGGCCAAACCCCAGCTCAGGTGGAGCCAGAGTTTGCATCCCCTCCCCTGGGAGCCCAGCTCACTGCCGAGTAATTTCCATTTCATAAGTACATTTTGCCTCTCTTCCTCTTAATAATATCTCTGCGACAAGGCTGTAATTCCTCCGGAGCAGAGTTATTGCCTGGCATTAATGGCTGAATAATTTTGCAAAGCACCTCGGCTTGGATACAGGCATCCAGGGAGATACAGGCGTCTGCAGGGACATGGGCGAGACACCAGACCAGTGCGGGTGACACGGGTACCCTCAGAGCCCTACAGCCCGGCCGTGTGGGTGATGATGTTCGTCATGTGCCTCACGGTGGTGGCCGTCACCGTCTTCATCTTCGAGTACTTCAGCCCCGTGGGCTACACCCAGAACCTGAGCAGCGCCAAACGTGAGTAGGGGGGACGGCGGGTGCGGGGCCGCGCCGGCCGGGCTGACGCTTCCCTTCTCCCATCCCCAGGACCCGGCGGGCCCTCCTTCACCATTGGCAAGTCCGTGTGGCTGCTCTGGGCCCTGGTCTTCAACAACTCGGTGCCCATTGAGAACCCCAAGGGCACCACCAGCAAGATCATGGTGCTCGTCTGGGCCTTCTTCGCCGTTATCTTCCTCGCCAGCTACACGGCCAACCTGGCCGCCTTCATGATCCAGGAGCAGTACATCGACACGGTGTCGGGGCTCAGCGACAGGAAGGTGGGAGCGCGTGGACCACGAGTCCTCCTTGTGCCCGTACCTCGTTTCCCCATCCATCCGGGGTGTGAGCAGGGCTGAGCCCAAGGAGCTGCACCTGTGGGTGCAGCCAGGGCTGGAGACGGGTGTCGATGTGCCGGGATGTGCCACGGTTTGCACGTTAGACCCTTAAGAAGGGCTATGGGCACGAACAGGCAGGTGGTGGGTGGCATCGTGCCCAGCGTGACGCCGGTGCCCGCGGGTCCCTTGCAGTTTCAGAGGCCGCAGGAGCAGTACCCGCCGTTCCGCTTCGGCACCGTCCCCAACGGCAGCACCGAGAGGAACATCCGCAGCAACTACCCCGACATGCACACGCACATGGTGAAGTACAACCAGCGCTCGGTGGAGGACGCGCTCACCAGCCTCAAGATGGGGTAGGCTCTGCGCTCACGTGGGTGCTGAGGGGGCTGCAGCCTCCCCCGTGGGCTACAGCCCCGTGTCGCGCTGCCCTCCCGCGCGCCGCAGGAAGCTGGACGCCTTCATCTACGACGCGGCGGTGCTCAACTACATGGCGGGCAAGGACGAGGGCTGCAAGCTGGTGACCATCGGCAGTGGGAAGGTGTTTGCCACCACGGGCTACGGCATCGCCCTGCAGAAGGACTCGCGCTGGAAGCGGGCCATCGACCTGGCGCTGCTGCAGTTCCTGGGGGACGGTGGGTGCGCGCCGAGCCCGCCGCGTCCTCGCGCGCCTCTGCCAGCGGGCGCTTTGCTGGTCCCATCCCCAGGGCTCTTGCTGGAAGAGAGAAGCTCCTTTATTTTATTTTATTTAAATTATATTTATTTAAATGTCGTGAAGGACAACACGAGGGTTTTCTGGCCCATGGAATCCATCCCTGCACAACAAATTAACCTGGGGAGGACAGAGGATGAGGTCTCACGGTAGCATGAGTCGTGTTGGTGGCCAGTGCCTCTGGAGGGGCTCAGACACCACTGTTGGCTGGGAGACTGTTGTGCACCAAGTATAGGAGGGCTGGGGAAGGAGAAGGACCATCCCGGGACAGGGAGTGTGGCTGGCTGGCACAAGGGAGGAGAAGGAGGTGAAGGAGAGGAAAGAGAAGGGAGAGGGCCTGCGAGGAGGATGAGCAGCTTGGGGGATGATCAGAGCAGGGGTGAGGGCAAGGGCTGAGCTGATCCCAGCTCGTTTGTCCTCTTCCTCCAGAGATGGAGAGGGGCAGGGGCTGTGCTGGGGGAGCCGCAGCGGGGTGGGATGTCTCACGCCGTGGCTCTGTGCGTGCGGTGCCAGGGGAGACGCAGAAGCTGGAGACGGTGTGGCTGTCGGGCATCTGCCAGAACGAGAAGAACGAGGTGATGAGCAGCAAGCTCGACATCGACAACATGGCCGGCGTCTTCTACATGCTGCTGGTGGCCATGGGGCTGAGCCTGCTGGTGTTCGCCTGGGAGCACCTCGTCTACTGGAAGCTGCGGCACTCCGTCCCCAAGTGCCACAAGCTCGACTTCCTCCTGGCCATCAGCAGGGTGAGCGCGGGGCCCAGGCGCTCTCAGGGGGCCCGGGTTTCCTCCCTGGAGGTGGACGCGGCTTTGCTGATGCCTCCCAGGTCTCTGCAGGGCAGCTGCTCGTGTTGAGAGGTGCTGTTGGTCAGGGGATGACGTTACTGGGGCTGTGGGCATGGGGACAGGGCTTTGGTCTCCCTTCCCTCACGAGAAGAGGCCGATGTGCAGGCCAGGGGCTGGCAGGGAGACAGGAGCTGCTCCATGGAGCGGGAAGCAGGGCTGGGGCATGGGCCGGGTTGGTGTTTCTGGGGCCTCTGCCATGCAGAGCCACTCAGGCAGAGCATGTGATGCACAAGGAGATCTTAACTTGGCTTTGCTAAGAATCAGAGCTCATGCTCAGGACTGTGTCACCTCAGGGCAGCCGTCCTTGGCCCACCCAAGCCCAAGGGTCTGGCTGCTGGGTGCTACGGAGCTCCAGATGTTCTGCTGATGAGGTGTGGGGTCCCCTCTCTCCACACAGGGCATTTACAGCTGCTTCAATGGGGTGCAGACCCCGGTGAGCCCCGCGCGGGCGCCCACCCCCGACGTGACGGCCGGCTCGGCCCAAGCCAACGTGCTGAAGATGCTGCAGGCCGCCAAGGACATGGTGTCGACGGCCAGCGTGGGCGGCTCGCTGGAGACGGCCACGCGCACCATCGAGGACTGGAGCAGCCACAGCGAGCGCCTCCACACCACCTTCTCGCTGCGGACGCCCCAGCTCGTGGTGCAGAACAGCACGGGCGCCCACCGCCCCTCGGAGCGCTTCCCCCGCGCCTACGCACCCAAGGGTGCTCCTGCGGGCCTGCCCCAGCCCGTGCTGCTGGACGCCAGGGCGCACGGGGACGAGAGG